AGATCCCGAAGCTGAGGCTCCAATACTTTGGCCATCTCATGAGAAGGGAAGACTCCCTGGAAAAGACCCTGATGTTGGGAAAGTGTGAGGGCAAGAGGAGAAGGGGACAACAGAGGACGAGATGGATGGACAGTGTCATTGAAGCTACAAACATGAATTTGACCCAACTCCGGGAGGCAGTGGAAGACAGGAGGGCCTGGCGTGCTCTGGTCCATGGGGTCACGAAGAGTCGGACATGACTTAATGACTAAACAACAACAACATGATACACTAAATTCATAGTGTGACATTCAGGATCTCTTTTTATTCACAATGACATATGTGGAGACCTGATCTGGACCATATATTGGGAAGGCAGTGTAAGCCTTACTCTTGCCAGCTGTCTTTCCTGAAAAATTCACTTTGGCCTCCCCTCTGTATAAGGGCTTAAAAATGGGGGAGGGGAAGTTCTATGAAAAAAATTAAAAGCCCTAGGTGAGTAAGGTGGCAACAGTTGGGGGGGTAGGTTTGAACGGCCCCCATCCCAATTCATGATGGTCCCAGTCCAAAGTGAGACTATATCCTGTCTTAGTAAGGAAAAAAGAACCTGCTGAATTGGATGCTATATATTACTGCAGAATCTAACTTAAAGCTAAGAATAATTGAGACTATTATGCATTTCATTAAGCAGTGTGGAAGTATGCTTGGTGTTTGCAGTCATGGTAACTGTTTTAGAGTTTGATTACTCTAATATAAAAGTGATATATCTCTGATTTTATCCTAACTCTGCATGTGGAGGATTCATAAATGCACAATGGCCTTTCAAATATAAAGAAGGCAACATCCCTCCCCCAGTCTTGATCATTATCTCTTTCTTTTGATCCTATTTTTTCTTAAATGTTGCTAATACTTTGACAATGGAAACTGATAAGCTAACACCATCCTCAAAGTTTTAGTTTAACAACCCTGAAGAAGGTGGCAAACAGGCCTGCTGCTCTCTTTAATTGGTCTTGGGGTGTGCTTTCACTATCCTGTGCAATGCAGAATAGGCTTAATTCTAAGAAATAACTAGACAATACATGATATACGTTGGCAAGAATCCCATTAGGAAATGTGCAGCATAAAGGTCCACTGCACAATTTTTGGCTCAAAGCTGTGTGAGGAAGACAACACTCCCATTTTAAGCATCAGGGCTCCTACATGGACAAGGTGGGAGTCAATATCCCTTTGCACAAGCTACAAAAAAGCAAAACACAATGAACCAGGGGGAATGAAGATGAGTCTACACACAGCCATCTATTTAGCATCTTTTTTTCTGACCACGAAGCATGCACAGGCAAAGAAACACTGTGATTTGATCACCCAGCAACTTGATCCATAAGTGCTGGATCCTGGGAAATGGGATCATTTTCTAGGACCCAGCAACTGTCTGCACTGTCTTGGTCTGAAAGGAAAGCCAATCTGAAGAGAGAAAAAGGGAGACAGGGTTGAGGTTGAAGGTGAAATGAGTCAGTCTTGAAGCGTACTCTGTTTCTCCTCCTCCTTGTTCTTTTCCTGCTGGAGGTTGGACGTCGTCATAGCAATACTGACTTTGGATGCAGCAGCACTAAAGAACTATGTTTGCTGCATGTTGTTCTTTGGGCTCAAGAACCTATAAGGTCCCTGAGCTCACACAATAGTGCTTAGTTCTATAATATTATTCCCGGTAGATCCACCATCCTCATTCTTCTTTCATTCCACAACATTCATGAAGAGTGATTGGGATCTCCTTCAAATGTAATATTCAATTTAATATTGGAAGACAAGCATTATTTTACACACACATACCCCTTAAAAATATTCTTAAGGTCATTGTCCTAGTTCACACCTGCACACATCTGCATATACACACATGCATGCATGCATATGCACACTTACACACCATCATACTCATTGTGCTTCTAACAAGTTATGAATTTAATTTTCTTGCAATACACAAAAGTTTCCAGTTTTCTCCAATGGCAACCACAAGGTTGCATGTGAAGTCAGAAATCTGCATGCAGGGATTGTGGAAAATGTTTATATGAGATCTTGCTACTTACATCACCAATTGCAGCTAAAGCTGCTAAGGCAGCAAGGGAACCCAGGATCGCTGCTAATGTTCTGTGAACAATCTGCAACAAAAGAAGTTACCAATCCTATTAGAGATCTCTTTTACATCCACCCTGGCTTTTCTTCTCTGTCCTGCACTGTGAGGTAAAGATTTGTTCACATCTTCTCTGCTTAGCAAAAGGGCCTTTATCAGACCAACACATCTACAAAGCAAACTGCTTGGAGCAGGAGAAGAGAAACAGCTACCATCTATTGATTGATTGATTGATTGATTGATTGATTGATTGATTGATTGATTGATCGATCGATCGATTGATCAATCAATCAAATATCTTTTTACCTCACCTTTCTCCTTAAAAGGCCCCATAGCAACTTATATCATTAAAAAGACAGTTTTAAAAACTAAAAACAGTAAGCATACAAATATTTTTCAAAAATTAATCTTTCCTATTAAAAATGGTAAATAAAATCAATACTGAAAACACAAAAGCTACAGAGCAGTACAACCCAATTTGAAAAACTTCACTCAGACCGCCAGTCACTAAGGAAAAGCCTTCCTGAAGAGAAAGGTCATTGCCTGCTTGTGGAAGGACAGCAAAGATGGGACCAACCTGGCTTTCCATGGGAAGGAATTCCAGAGTCTAGAAGGAGCAACAGAGAAGGCCTTCTCCTGTGTCCCTACCAAGCACACCTGTGAGGGTAGGCGGGATTGAGAGAAAGGCCTCCCCTGGATCTCTCTGCAGGCCTTCACATTTGTCTTGCTAACTTCCAGATAGAGGTAGAGGGTGAGCTTTACGTGCATGTCCCCATCCCCACCATTCATTCAGCTCTACATGGTTTCAGGCATAACACCAAAATAGGGCCAAAGTCTTTGGAAAGAACAAGCTATATCCTGCCATAAAGACAAAGTATTGTGTGCCGTTGTCATCATTTTTGTAAACATTAGAGAAGATAGACGATAAAACATCTCAATATATGCTTGTAAAAGCTTTAGTACTATTTTGATTCAGTGTGACCACAAGATCTAATCTACAAATTGAATAATCTTTCCCCCACATTAAATGGGTAATTTTATTAAATGAAATGCAATTGCAAAAGGTTTAATTATAATTGAAAGAATTCACTGTTATCGCTGAATCACCCACAACAAAATTAGCAATACCTAAAATATTACTCAAAGGAAAGTATCATTACACAACAGCTCATTCACTACTAATTTTGTTCGAAAGGCTTTGGCAGATCAGAAAAGCAATAAAGCAACCTATGTTATTCTCTCTGCTTCTTTCTACCACAAAAGGAAAAAGTCTGGAGAACTCTTTAGCTTTTCCTTTAAAAAAAAAAAACTATTTAAAATGAGATTTCACATTTTCTGGCAATTAAATGACATGAGGTGATCTATGCTGAGAGATTACATGCAGAGACACAGAAGCCCCATTCAGTTGTTTGGTTCCCATGGTTACAGAAAACATGAAGACGCTAATGAAAAAGAACAGACTAGCACCATCCTTTAGCTTCTAATGCAAACTCCAAACATCCCCTGGATACAACACATCTTTGGGATAAATTTATTTTATCAGACTATTTCATCTTCCATAGTTCACAAAAACAAATCCATCTTCCCAGTTTTAACATTTAACGTTCACCAATCAATTCCCAAACCTAGCATTCCCGGCTCTGGTCTATAGAAGGTCATATGGAAAAACATGCTGGTTCTCTCTGTGTGAAAGGGAACTCCCTAAACCAGACTGGCAGACAGGATGGCCTTCCTGATGTTGTAGAGCTGCAAGTCTCCTCATCCTTCCCCCTTGGCTATGACAGGCAGGACTAACAGAAACATCTTGGCATCTGCTGCCCCAGGCAATAGCCCCAACCCAGTTGCAGGGCTGGACTGGCCCCACCCAAAGGTCATCTTCCCTGACAATCTTTAGGCCATGGTGAGAAAGAGTATATTAGAGCAGGAGGTCAATCTTCCCCCATCCTTTCTCCCACTGCAGTCCCCCAGTCCACATCCCCTGACCCATCCTGAGCATCCTCTGACTGGTTGTTGTGGGTTTTTCAGGCTCTTTGGCCATGTTCTGAAGGTTGTTCTTCCTGACGTTTTGCCAGTCTCTGTGGCCGGCATCTTCAGAGCGCAGCACTCAGTGCTCTGGTGCATTTTGTTTGGGAGTTTGTTTGGGAGTTGCTCTGTGGTCTGCACCAGAGCACAGAGTACTGTCCTCTGAAGATGCCAGCCACAGAAACGTCAGGAAGAACAACCTTCAGAACACGGCCAAAGAGCCCAAAAAACCCACAACAACCATTAGATCCTGGCCATGAAAGCCTTCGCGAATACTGATTCTCTGGAAAGACAATTCTGGATAAAATAAATGGCTGCAAAGCAGAAGAGCAGAGCAGTGAATTCCCTTTGCATTAGTCCTGCATCGATACAACCCAATATAAAGAACTTTACCAGCTTCCCTTGCTTTTCACTTCTGCAAAGTAGAATGTGTAGCTGTATTAAAATAATAAAACCCTGAACAATGTATATTTATATAGTGTGAAAAGGCTGAATTATTGATCAGAAACTTACAAGCTATGCAGTCTAAATACAGTGGTGCCTCGCTTAACAACGATAATCCGTTCCAGGAAAATCACTGTTAAGCGAAAACGTCATATAGCGAAATTAAAAAACCCATTGAAACACATTGAAAACCATTCAATGCATTCCAATGGGCTAAAAACTCACCGTCCAGCAAAGATCCTCCATATGGCGGCCATTTTGCGAATACATCCTCTGGAAAGACTGTTCTGGATAGAATAAATGGCTGCAAAGCAGAACAGCAGAGCAGTGAATTCCCTTTGCATCAGTCCTGCATCGATACAACCCAATATAAAGAACTTTACCAGCTTCCCTTGCTTTTCACTTCTGCAAAGTAGAATGTGTAGCTGTATTAAAATAATAAAACCCTGAACAATGTATATTTATATAGTGTGAAAAGGCTGAATTATTGATCAGAAACTTACAAGCTATGCAGTCTAAATACAGTGGTGCCTCGCTTAACAACGATAATCCGTTCCAGGAAAATCACTGTTAAGCGAAAACGTCATATAGCGAAATTAAAAAACCCATTGAAACACATTGAAAACCATTCAATGCATTCCAATGGGCTAAAAACTCACCGTCCAGCAAAGATCCTCCATATGGCGGCCATTTTCGGTGCCTGTATAGCGAGGAATCCATCCCTAAGCACAGCAGGGAGCCATTTTGAGCACCCGGTGGCCATTTTGAAAACCCGACGATCAGCTGTTTTTGATCGTCGTAAAGTAAAATCAGTTCTCGAAGCAGGGAACCGATCATCGCTAAGCGAAATTCCCCCATTTAGACCATCGTTTTGCGATCGTAATTGCAATCGCAAAACGATGGTCTAAATAGGGGTGTCATAAAGTGGATTTAACGTAATGCAGGGCAATCACTAAGCAGGGCACGACTGTACTTTAGAACAGTCCTACCATTATATTAACCTTCTTTAAGTGAGGGAAAATGTAACACTGGCACAAGATAATAGTGACCTATAAAGTAAATGCTCTCTTGACTTCCAAGGAACAAGTCATGATTTCTAAAAGTGAGCATCCAGTGAAAGCATTGGTAACACAAGAAATGCTCTGGACAAGTTTAATTGGAAACCAAGTTTCCTGGGCAGGGATGCTGATGTTTCAATGTCAGTTTCAGCATTTTTATTGCAGCATTTATTTTAAAATGTTATCACAAGGCTTCACTATCAAGATTTTTTACAAATATGAGTTTGTTTTTTAAATATTTCTTATTTTTTATTAACAATATTAATCAATACATACATTCATTTCTTTCTCTACCGTTCTTCCCCCCCACTCTCCCTTTCCCATCTCCTACAGCAGAGTCATATCTGAAATTTTATGATTAAAATATGAGTTTGTTTTTTAAATATTTCTCATTTTATATTAACAATATTAATCAATACATTCATTTCTTTCTACACCATTCTTCCCTCCCACTCTCACTTTCCCATCTCCCACAGCAGAGTCATATCTGAAATTTTATGATGAGGCTTTCCTGGGAAAATTATAGTCATATTCCAAGTATATTATAAAGATCAATAAATCTGGTGTGCTTTATTATCTGTTCCATTCATATATACAATAAATGGGTGCCACTCTATTTCAAAATAACACGAGAAATGTTCTGGACAAGTTTAATTGGAAAGTTTCCTGAGCAGGGATGCTGATGTTTCAATGTCAGTTTCAGCATTTTTATTGCAGCATTTATTTTAAAATGTTATCACAAGGCTTCACTATCAAGATTTTTTTAAAATATGAGTTTGTTTTTTAAATATTTCTCATTTTATATTAACAATATTAATCAATACATTCATTTCTTTCTACACCATTCTTCCCTCCCACTCTCACTTTCCCATCTCCCACAGCAGAGTCATATCTGAAATTTTATGATGAGGCTTTCCTGGGAAAATTATAGTCATATTCCAAGTATATTATAAAGATCAATAAATCTTGTGTGCTTTATTATCTGTTCCATTCATATATACAATAAATGGGTGCCACTCTATTTCAAAGGAATCCAAGTGTTTTATTCCTTTATGCAGTTTGGTGATTAAAGTTTCCAGCAATGCTGTCCACCATTCCTAGTGCTTCCCAACCTTGGGTCCCCAGATGTTCTTGGATTAAAACTCCCAGAAATCCTAGCCAGCACAGCTAATGCAGAAGGTTTCTGAGAGTTTCAGGGGAAGATCAGGAGACCAGATTTCACATGCTTCGTGTGTGATAGATAACCCACTTCAGAGGACCAGCATCCTCAAGGTTGAGTGACATCCCCTAGAAACCAGGAAGACCTCCACCCTGCTTTAGATACCCATGGAAATTCATGAATTGCTAGGATCGGAGCAGGAGAAACACTGCAATGGCAGGGACATAGCTAAAGACACAAGCCTACATGGTTGTCTTTCATGTAATTCACAAGCAGAGCTAATGTGCCTGCCAAAAGAAATTCCCCCTGTGCTCAGTAGAAGTTCTGGATTTTGTTCCACCTCCA